TTCTGCTGAAACTCACATTGAGAACCATTTAAATGTTGAAGACATGTTTAAAGCATAAAGCCATTATACATAGACAAAGATTGTTATAACCAATGAAAAATTGTTTGATGGCTTCGAAATATAATAAATAGATGCATCTGCTAAAAAGAATTTCCCCAATTAGTTAATATAAAACCCATTAATGTCTTGTTGAATATTCCGAATATGAGTTGGCATTGAATACATGTAATGTTAATGCCTTAAAAAACAATATTTGTGCACGAAAATGTCTGTTAATTGCATTCCGGGTAGAGCTTGGCATTGCCTTTGCATAATCATCTTCTAGCAAACTGTTAATGGATGACCATGGTTATCAATTGTACTCAGAACAGAGTACAGAATCGCTAACATGATATTCGCTCGTCGTCCAGTTTACTAGTTCAGAGCCTGCGTATGAGATTTACACTGACATCACTCAATCTACGGGCTGGTACAGGGCAAATTCAGTGGTTGGCGCTGGTATGATCACCACACTATTGTTGAGCACGCAATCGTTTGGAGCCAGTAACCTTGACAACTTAGTCAGTATGACGCCATACTTCGGTACCCTATGGTCTCCTGATATATAACAAAACTCTGTAATTTATTTCATTGTATAGCATTTAATTTCACGTTTCAACACACAAAACTGGTATCTTTAAACAATCAACATATCATATAGCCAGATGAAAAATCAACAAATTAAATCATACTAATACTTAATACGCAGTATCTGTTCTATCAAAGATTAACATATAGCATAAGATAATAACTAGATCAACAGATTTTAATTTTTACAAATACTGGGTTTATTGTGTTATTAAGATACCATAAGCATACTTGTAACATAAATACTTCCTTGATAGATAATGGAAATTTTCCATATATATAATTATAATATTATTCATTCTATCAAATATACTTTTTGGGAACATTAATATATTGAATGTATCAAAACAAAATTATAAATTAACATATTGAATCTTAGACAAACTAAACAATGTACAGCCATCTACATTGTGTGAGTTTTATTTCAATGTTATTGCATTTGACTAGGGAAAAAAATTCCATTAAACGAAATGATAACATCAATAATGTTGAATCTTTGCAAATATTTGGGTATTATTCTATGTATATTATAATGAGCATAGTTTTAATGTTTTTAATTTGTTAAAGATAACGAGCCTTTACAAACTATTTATATGGTGTATCGTATTAGTCATTCAATCAAAATGCACTTGTTGAATACATAATATGTACATATGCCTTACCAAAATAAAGTCAACAAATTGAATCAAACGTTGCAGAAACTTAGTATAATGCAGCTTTATACAAGTTGTGCGTTAGATTAAAAAAAAAAACCCTCATGCAATAGTATAGCATCTTTTATTAAACTACATGCTACATAACAAATAGTCTCACAGAAAGATGACAAAATCAACAAATGTGTATCTCACAAGTACTGGGTATTATGCAGCTATAAACATGTATTGTATTATATTTATGAAACTTCATTAATGTAAATCAATATTCTGTTTATGAACATATAAATCACTTTACAATGTAATGTAATAAATGAATATTCTGTTTGGAAACATATAATTATGTGATATAAATCAATTTTCAACGCACTGTTTATAGCAAAATAGAAGGAAATTTATATCCAGCAAACACACTCTTTCTTTCTTTTTGTAATAACATGTCAAAATGCATATAGTAAATAATATAATCAACCATGTTTATATGTTCTAAGCATATTTGCTATGCATGTTATTGCATGATACATTACAATGCTATGCAATGTTAAGCATATTATTTACAAGGGTTTGTTAGAAATATTGACGAGACAAAAGGTGTATCATTCAATTTGTGCTCAGTTGTAAGAAAGTCTTTTTGCCTGTCACCCCCCCATAATTTTATATCTTGTTTACTCATGACTATAAAACAAATTTGATTGGATTTCACTAGCTGAAAAAAGCGGTTAATCAACTTAAAACTATTACATGAATATACCTAAACATGTACTTGGTGTAAAGCAGGTATGTACCTTTATTTATTTATTATGTATTATAGTTTTATTTCAACAGGGTGGTCTTATTTCAAGTCCATTTCTGGACCTGATCTCCAAGAGAGTAATAACGTTATACAACGATGAAAACATAAATTCAAAACATACATACAAAGGTACAAATATACATGGCATATACAATAATTCAACTCAATCTAATATAAATAAGAAAGAGGAAAACAAAGACTTTGCAGAGACTTACAATTGTGAATATTACAGGGTAATTTATAATAATTTAGCCCCTGAAACCGCTAAGGTTTTTATTTTAAAATTTGTTTTTACATTTTTGAATGAATAATGGACTGTTTAGAACGAGTAGAATACAATACCAGTTTTGTACTAATACATGGATTTGAAATGGTGGTGATAGGTCGTTGATGATTTAAAAATTAAAAAAAAAAATGTTACCTTCGATAAAGAGTAAATCAATGACTCAACATTGAGTAAGAACTTCGTTTGTGTCAATTTTGAGTAAACTACGGTTGTGTATTAGCTGTCTCGTGCATGCATGTGCGCGTGCAGAGAGATGACTGACAAAGAAAGCGGACAAAATATACAGTTCCCCAGGTAGACAAAGGAACATCCCTTCTCTGCTATTATGTAAACATGTGTAGAACAGGTGTCACATGCATATTCACCTTTCTACATAATAGCAGTGAAGGGATGTTCCTTTGTGTACCTGAGGAACTGTATATTTTGTCCGCTTTCTTTGTCTGTCATGTTCATAGTGGATGCAAAAGAACTGAGATAGATGTGACACATTGGGAAGAAATTCTGAGCTCATGGATCGAGCTTGGATCAGCTCCAACCGACATTTCTAGGTAAGAAATCCTCATGATAATATTAAAAGAGCTACCGTGTGATATTTAGTCAAGTTTCAAGGACACTGTGTTGATCAACATTGTGTAATTATTGTTGTCACTGTCGATGTCATTATTTTGATTGTGAACTTGGGCAATTCTCTAAGGGCGAGTGTGCATGCATTAATTTAGTGACCGGTAATAGCTAGCCTACTTTATTGTATTTGTATTAAACACGTATTGGCCTGGGGTAGGCCTATTGATGCAGATGGTTGTAGGACAATTACCCCTGGGCAATTGGCCAATTACCAGCGGGACAATTACGCCCCCCCCCAGAAAATAACCCTCTGAAGACAACCAACCCAGAGGACAATTACCCCCTAGGACTCGGATTAGGACAACTTCCTCCCCCCCCCGATTTTATCAAAACCAATTAGTTGTCATCATCCTATCGAAACTTAATGCACATAAATTAACCTCTACCTTGTTAATTACTATCATGTTAACTACATATCAACATTTTTATCATTTTAGGAAGGAACTGGCTTGGACTTTTTTTCTGGCCTCCTTCAGAGGAAGGAGCTAACTGCTTTTGATTGTACTTCGAGGGACACCAATGAAGCCAGGACAGTGTTACGTAGTCATCGAGAGAAGCGCCTATTCATGCTCTTCATTGAAAGCAGCAGTTGACTACTGCTACAAGATGTTTCAAACCCTAGTTGAATCCACCTTTGTTTTAATCAGTATTGAGTAAAAACATGTACTTAACTTAGTACATGTTTTTACTCAATATTGATTAAGCAACTAAGCGTTACCCAGATAACATCATACTCAATATTTGAGCAAAAAATTGCTCAAACAATTTGAGTCAAAACATGTACTCGTTAATTGAGTAAAACTTGGCTCAACTCATGAGCAGTTTCTTACTCGACATGAGTTGATTACGTTTCTACTCAGTACTGAGTAAAAAAGGGAACCGCTCAACAAAGGAGTAAATATTGAGTAAAGGTTGACTCATTCAAACTGAGTAGAGATTTAGTCTTTTATTGAGTAATATTTTTACTCAACAGATGAGTAGATTTGTTACTCAACACATGCTGAGTAAAGTTTACTCAAAAGTCGGGTGGTTCCCTTTTGACTACTCAAAAGAGTAACATTTTGACTCAAATTGAGCAGTTTTTTTTTAGAGTGTATAATGTAATCAGAATGTTACGGGAAATATAATGGCGTATACGTCTAATGCAGGCAATCGTACCCGATACTTTCTTAACAACTTATCTTACATGTAGCGACCATGATAGACATTTATCTGTTACACCTAGATATTTGTTTTCTTAGTTTTGACTGAGTCGAGTATATTATCACTGTATTGAATACAAATATTATTATTTAGATTTTTTCTTTTGTAACCAAATAGTATTGTTTGGCTTTTATTTGCATTTAAAAAACCATCCATCTTATTTTAGCCATTTCAGGATACTTGAAAAGTCTTTTGGGGAGATTGCATTCACAAACTTTATGATCCTTTTCATGATGAAACACTGCCGTGTCATCTGCATTGAGGAAAGCTTTGTCTTGGAGTTGCAGGTTACAAATACCATTCACATAGAGGCAAAAAAATAATGACCCAGTATTGATCCCTGTGGAATTCCTGACTCGACAGTTTGAAAATTACTTGGGTCCATGTCTTATCAATGATTTCCTTAATTTGTTTCTAACCTTCCAAAGAAGTTCTTTCCGCTTCTTAATAGTGAGGCTTTCATTGATGTAGACATGGTGTTTATTCTCATCGCTAAGATTCTTTAACTTAGATCGTGCACTGTAGACCTGTTTTCGGGTGCGATAGCTATTGAATTTAACAATGATATTCCTAGGTGTGTGGCTATAGCTGGTCGTCCCGGTGCGCGGTTTCGTCGATCCATCGCTTTGGCATTTCTGCTGCCCAAGTAATTAGTCTCTTGATAGACATTTATGTTCTAACACACATATTAAAATAAACATGTCATTTTCGGGATGCTAGTTATGATAACCACATCAATGTGTTTGTACGTATTAAACGTGTGTGTACGTTACGGTAGTGAACATGGAAAACTGTATTCAAAGTGGATACGATTTTAGAGGATAAATCTGTTTTTGAATACGAGAATATTGTCTCCATCGCAAGCAAAAAGTTTCCCTGATGACGTCATCAACACCCGAGATGATAGAAGGTGACACTCCCTATCCTCCAGTGAGTCCAGTTCGGTTGATAGAGGGAATGATGCTACTCTTCTCTTCTCGATTTCATCCCCGCTCATCACCTGATCAATCACACACGTACCATACTCATCATCTGATGTCACGACGTAGAGGTCGTCTGTCATAGGATCGATGCAGGCATTGAGGATGACACCACTGTGGGAGATTTCCCTTTGGGCACCTTGTCTGTCGATAATGAACACTCTGTGATCCGGTGGGAAGGGTTGAGCGATGATATGACCTGATGATAGTACACCATACATTATTATATCCTGTTTACATGTGATGGTATTCATGATCTTACCATCAGATGGGTTGATGACGTATATCTGAGACTGACACCACTCAGCAGCGATGATCATCCCATCCCGGTCAACAGCTACATCCACCCTTGCGTTATCACGCGTTGTGTTTTTTGGTATTGTGACGTCATGGATGTGCTTCCATTTTCTGTCATAGACACTGATTGATTCAGTCAAACTGTCCCCTGTACAACCTCTACTGAGTATATAATACCGCATACTTTTTTGCCATCATTCAGCAATGCACAGGAGAGGATCCGTGATGTACCACTACTGGTTATCACTCTCTGACTGTTTTTAGTATATATATTTAACATGTAAGTATGTAGGCTATCACTTAAGCTATCTGTGATGATTACATTGCATTCATATATGTATCCTACAACGGCTGGAAATTTGATTTTATCACCGACATTGAGTGTATCAATGAGCTTCCACTCCCCATCATACCCATCAATCCTCCCATCATACTTCTTTCTCCCAGCACCCTTTACAAACCTCACACCCGATATAGTATCAGTGATTTGTTTCACCTCACCCTCATTCAGTGGCTTCTTTAGTTCATCACTCACCGATGTCTTCACACGATGCCCGTCTTTTACGACATTTTGATCATTTTCGAGCACTGTATCGAGTGTCTGTACTGTAGTCTTTGTGGTTTTTGTGTTATCCTGCCATGCTTTCTCCAACTCACTAATCTTTCTTTTTTTCTCTTCAGCGATGTTCTTAATGTCTGTTTGAAGACCATGCTCTTTATTGTCAATGGGTTCTCGTCTCCTCTCTGCATTTGTACGGTTTAGTTCAAGTCGTTTTTCTCTCTCTTCATCGTTCTTTCCAATCTTTTCCTTTATCTTCTGAATCTCATCTTGAAGTTTCTGATTCTTTTCATCTGTATCCTGGTTGATTTTTGCAGCATCCTCCTTCTCTTTGTCTTTGTCTGTTTGGATCGCCTCATTGATTACCGCATCTACTTCATCTTTCAAAGCTTGAAGATGGGTGTCGGTGTCTGTCCTACACTGATGAATCTGAACTCCAATAACTCGACAAAGCTCCAATTTGTCCTTTGCCTTTTCTTTTAGAATGTTTAGTCTTGCTCTACTATCCATGATGGCGCCCTCTATATCCTGTTGCATGCAAGACATGTCACGATGATCTATCGTTGCGCATAATTGACACACTGCTACATTATGTGTTTTACAATACAGTTTGATTTCTTCACCATCATGCTTCTCACAATACAGATTTGGCCTACCCTTTCTAACTTTTCCGATGCATTCCTCTTTGGAGGCACAGTCATCGCAGAGCTTCTTCTTCTCCTTCACGTAGTACGTCACATCTGTGATTGATTGACAGTTCTCTCCTTCACAGATGTTTTCTGCAGAGCTGAAGTGTGCCGCCATCTTGATCAGAGTATTGTCCTGTAGAAAGAACAATTCTCAAGAGAGAGAGAGAGAGAGAGAGAGAGACATCGGGAGAGAGAGAGAGAGGGAGAGAGAGAGGGGGGAGGGGAAATTATGGGTTGGATGAACAGGGAAGAGATAAACAGGGAGGAAAGGAAGGGAGAAAGATTGAGTGAACGTTAGGAGGGATGCGGGAGCCACGGAGGGAGAGGAAGAGGATGAGTAAAAAGTGAAAAAGAAAGAGATTTAAAGAGGGGATTGAAGAAGAAGGAGGAAGGGAAAGACAGATTGAAAAGAAGATAATAAAATATGTTTAGTAAAATGACTTCCATTAATAATATGTCCTCATAAACATTATAAAAAATAATGCTGATGAATGCCATTGTATTTCCTTCAGTGAAATTGCTTTGAAATTGATATACAAAGGTCATTTACTGTTTTTTCATACATTTTAATCAAACACTTGTATCATTTTGAACATTGGCGATGCGCATCTACAAGATCAACATTTAACCTCTGTATATATTGAATAATGCACTGAGAGCAAATAACAAATAAATTAAATATATATTTTGTGTCAGTAAGTGGTCGTGACCTATATTATACATGCATTTCCCAAAACATGTGTATTTTTGAAAGGCTTTCGAAGGATTAGACAAAATGGACTTCACAATTTTATAGTAACATGATTTGTATAAATTATTGAAATTGCGGAATTAATGATTCAAAGCAAAATTGACATGTTGATCTTGTTATTTACATAGGTTTAGGATCGTATGCGCGTTTTAATGGCATTGTTCTTGAAAGGTGATGTTAGGGACTTTTATATTCTGCACGACGAGAACGTGGACTGGCCTTTTAAGGCAATGTGACGTCCTTTTGAGGCACTGACAGTGACGTCACATTGCCTTAAAAGGGCAGTCCGCGTTCTCGTCGTGCATACTCTACAAGTCCCTATTATCAAGTGGCCGAACCATAATATAAGGCCAATGTATGCAACGCGTTATAACTGCAACAAAAAGGTGTTATAAATTCAAAAAACCTTTTGGATTGGATTAGACTGAGCCCTTACTTTGTGTTTTAAAACCAATGTTACGACGCATTTTATAGTTAGCGTTAACAACCTCATACTCCAACACATCATACAAGTTAGTGTTACATTAAAACATATTGAAACCATTCCGTCAATATAATCATAAAGTGTTTGATTGAATTATGATACTCATAGAAAAGTATTCTGTTGTCTAACGTTGAGAGAATATATGAGAATAACAATTTCATAGAAAACGAGTAACGGCACTGTAAGTAATGTGATGTTTAAACCACTTCTCATTCTAGATTATGAACAATTATAATTGTATTTATGGAAACAATCAAGTATCATCTAGTCTTATCCCATGAGGTTCATTTTAAATTCAAAGTAAATAATGTTTTACTTTATGTGGTACGTTAACTAATAAGATACATGCGTTTTGATTTATTTTCCATTGTAAATAGGGTCTCTCGTCTGAAAAGATATTGCTCGGGTCCCAAATATTGCGAGCAAGCGAGAAAAACATTGTATCTCCTTGCCAGGAATCATATGATTTATCAATTTTTCGATAAGTAAATCCACGAGTGGTAAAAAGAGAAAATTTTGTTGTGGCATACATTTCATTTCGATATAGAAATACAATAAATAAGGTTATATTCGGGTGCCATGCCAAGCAAATAATGACGCAATTCGGGCAGTAAGAGATAGAGAAAAGAAGAAAGAGAAAGAGACATACAGTGTGAGATATTATTAACAATTATTTTCATGTTGTAGGACCTTAATTTCTGAAAGCTTTCTTATATAAAGTGGATTCATAATTTGAATTCTCATCTTTTTACTTCCAAATAAGACATACATACCCCATCTCACATGCATACATCTGTTTCTATTTTTATTGCATTTTACAATTGTATATATTTTTCATCCCCTTCCTTTTATGAAACCAACCTTGTTCAAAGCAAAAATGATATACATTCAATTTACAGCCCACTTTACACACCAGTTTGTTGCGATTTTAACCTTCGTAATATGAAGTCAGAAAGAAAGCTGATACAAAACTCCTCCAACCTGTATTAATCGTAATATTTGTATTAAAGTGCAAATCAAGATGGCCTCTAGTTGTACGTCAAACTGATGCTCACTTGGCCAAAATTTGCACACAATTTCATGGGCATTTTCCACTCATGCATGCATACAGTGCATGCATATGGCAAGTAGAAAAACAGAGTAATTGTCCCCAAAACACACAATGAACGAGCGTTGACAAAAGATGTGCTCCGTTGCTCTATTTGTGAAATATTTATCATGAATATAACTGAATGCATTGACATTCCTTGTGATCTCAATCCATTGAATCGTGTCAGGGGGGGGGGGGCGCGCTTATCCTAATCCCTAAAAGGAAATAACCAGCTGTAGTTAGACAAAAATCTTTTACAAGTTATATCTTTTAGAATTGCACAACGACAACGTAGATTGCTACGATCGACGTCCTAAATAATGCACTGCCTTGAATGAACGTCACACGTATCAGTCCACGCAAATCTAAAAGTCCTTAATAAAGTCATTAGATCAATGGTTGCATCAGGGTATTAAAGACGGATTTATGAATCTCTAAAAGCTTTGGATTACGTGTTCTTTCAATGCTAAAGACAAAGTGAGTGGAGAGATTCTGTTAATGCAAGGCGTTCGCTGTGGAGCAGATGTAGCAGATCAGTTGAAGTATAAATAATAATCTAAACTACATATTTGTTTAGGTGGGGTTTTGCTATTCGGCGTGAGTTAATCCCTGCATCAGTAAATCCTCATTTATATTTCACTTACACCATAAGTTGTCCACATTCTCTTACTAGGACTAGCTTGCCACGATTTAGTTAACACGACCCTTCCACCGACCAGCGTAACTTACTCAGAGCCATATATACACAGAGTTTGGCCAACCCGGTTTGAGTTTGACACAATGGCCCCAATTCACAAAGGAGATTTGTAGACAAACCTAGATTTATTTGCGTTATATGACGCGTTTCCATGCGTTTCAGACCAAGGTTCAGACAAACCTTGGTCTGAAACGCGTCAAAACGCGTCATATGACGCACATAAACCTAGGTTTGTCGACAAACCTTCTTCGTGAATTCCGGCCTTCTTTATGGCGACTACTGTTTTGTTGGGCAAGCACCAAACAAAAGAACAAACGCCATGTTGTGACCCAGTGAAACCAAGTTAGCCAAAGTCTGTGTATAGATGGCTCGTGAAACGTCACAGATACTCCCGGATGTAAGTGAGTGCATCAACATGGCCAACTTACGCTACCCTCTAGTAGTGTTAGCGAGTTACTCGTGGATTTTTCCAGGAGTAAATAGCTCGGGGTAAAGGTTGGTGTAGCTGACACGATCATCTTTCAGACGGTTATTACTCCAACCTTAACACCTACCGTACCATATTTACCCTGACTAGCTCTTAACACGACCTTTACCCAAGGGTAACCTGCCTCCGTCTGAACAAGACTAGTATCTGTTTTAAATCATGCTTTCTCTTTCTTTCACTACAGTCGTGTGTAGTGTTTGTATGTTATTTCATCTCGTGCAGGAATGGTCTTTATTGAGTATTTGATATCCAACTTATTTCAATATTCTCACTACAACAATATTTGAGAATTACATGCATTAATATTTTACCTCATGGCATGTACCCTGAGTGCATGTTGCTCCCCCTCCCCTCTCTTTTTCACCCCCTATTTCACCGATGACCCCTCATTGCCTGGACCTATGGTACAACAGTGCAAACGTCTTAGATCATTATAATTATCTGTCATTAGTTGTCTCTTCCTGCTCTCTCTTTCCTTCTATATCTAATATATGTCTTCTTCCCTCACTCTCTCCTTCTCTATATTTCTCTTTTTCCTATCGATTCCTTTGTTCCCCAACTTTCTCTCCCCCCTCTCCCCTGCTCTCTCTTTCTCTTTCTCTATCAATTCCTTTGTTCCCCAACTTTCTTTCTTTCTCTTAGTCTCCCTCTCTATCTCCCACTCCCTTGCTATTGCTTCCTTTCATAATATTTCTGTCAAGTGACAAACCCGCAACTTGAAACTTCTTTTCCATCTAATTTTCCCTCCAAGAGTCTCTGTTTCTTTGTTTTACGTCACCATTATCCAAAAGGTATCAGAATATTTGTTTTCCATTTTGTGTACAAATATACATATTTTGGTGGTGAAAGCCTCCAACTCAAAAATATACTATCTAGATTTTTTAAATATTGTGAGCAAGTGAGAAAAACAATGTATTCAGTCATTTCGTTGCCAGGAATCTTCCTGATTTATCAATTTTGTGAGAAGTAAAGAAAATGAACAAAATAGACAGGTTGATATCCCATAAATTTAACTTTGTATTCTCATATTTCTTCCTCCAGATAAGATAAACATACTCCATCCCGCATAAATACCCCTTTATCGCATAGTTACGTATTTTTCATCAACTTCCTTGTATGAAACCAAACTTTTTCACAGCAAAATGACCTACATATAACGTTAAGCTCACCTTAATACCGGTATGTTGCAATTCAAATCTTCGTAATGTGAAGTCAGACAGAAAGCTGATTATCTAGATGCTTTTTTTATGATTGAAACTGTTTGAAGAAGCACAATGCATCCAACCTCGTGTAACATGTGTATCTGGTGCCAATCAAGATGGCGTCTATTTGTATACCATCCCACGTCAAACTGATGCTCACTAGGTACAAATTTGCAAACGAATTCCTCCCCCAAACTCACAATGTAGGAGCGTTGAAAAAGGATGTGCTCCGTTGGTCTTTGTGAATAGATTAATATGAATATGAATCATAGCAGTCTAGCATAGGATGAATGCATTCACGTTCCTTGTTATGGCTATAGAAGCGTTACAGGGGTTCGTGGACGTGTAGTGGGGGGGGGGGGGGGGGAGAAGTATGATTATGCCGACCTCCCTTGAAACAAATCTTTTTATTTTGCTAGGAAGAGTTATATACAATGCAGACAAATTAGACAAATTTCTTCA